TTCGTTTCTGCCGCAGCGAGCGGGGAGGGCGAAGCAGAAAGGAAAGATTCCAATAAAGAAGCCGCGGGCAAGGGCGCCCGGCACTGAACCGCCCCGCAGCGCCGGGGACGCGGAGTCGCGGAACCCTGTGCGGGAAATGCCCGCAGAGAACCGTCCCCCAGCACTGCCAAGGCCACCACTAACCCATGTCCCCAAGAGCCACACGGCTTTTAAACCTGGACAGGGATGAGGACGCCACCGCTGCTGCCCTGGGCAGCTGTGCCAGGGCTGGACAGCCCTTTTGGGGAAAAAACTTTCCCAATATCCAACCTAAACCTCCCCTGGCACACCTCGAGTGACAAATCAGGGGCAATGTGTGCGACTTCAGCACTGACAGGAGCTGGGCTGTGCCTCAGCTTCCTCCTGGGTGAGGTGGCACAAGACACTTCAGCAGCAGTCAGTGCCCACCTTTCGGGACTTTTACACTCTGGCAAAATAATACTGAGGATTATTTATTATTATTAATTATTCTTATGCTGGGGGATCACACAGACGATTTTGCTCCAAGCAACCATTAACATTGTGCAGGCCTGGGGTTCAGCAGAACCTGGGCCGAGGGGAAGTGAAGGCGCCGGGCAACCAGGGAATGTTGGGCCTGGGTCACCCCTGTGGTTGTGATGTCATCACGGGTCGCAATCCAGAGCCAGCGCGTGGGTTCAGCGCTGGATGTTTGCAGGCAACACCAGTGTTCCACACGTGTCGGATAGGTCCACTGCCTCTGACTCCAACGTGGGGGATAGCTCCACACCCACCAGACAGTCATCCTCCAACATGGAAAGGGAGATGAGCGAAGGGAATTGCAGCATCTCCAACGAGCTCCACCTTGAAGGGAGACCCTGTGATGTGATCATAAGCGTAGATGGAGTGGAATTCAAGGCTCACAAGCAAATCCTCTCTTGTTGCAGTGTCTACTTTGGGTCAGTACTGGAAACACAAGGATTTATTTACAAGGGCCTGGAGTGACAGGACAAGGGGTAATGGCATCACACTGACAGAGGTTTATATTAGATAGTTGGAAAAAATTCCTCCCTGTGAGTCAGGTGAGGTCTTGGCACAGGTTGCCCAGAGAAGCTGTGACTGCCCCATCTCTGGAAGTGTCCAAGGCCAGGTTGGATGGGGCTTGGAGCAACCTGGTCTAGTGGAAGGAGTTCCTACCCATGGCAGGGGTTGGAATGGGATAATCCT